CCCTAAACCCCTACACCCTGAACCCCAAACCGTAAACTCTAAACGTAAAGCCCAAGACCCACCTTGTTGTTCAGGAAGTACTCCGGGATCTCCGACCAGTGGAGTCGAGCCTCAGGGCGTTCGATGCCAAAACGGGGCTTCTGAAAGTCCGAGAAGGGCGTGATGATGCTTTAATTCCACGATTTAGGGTTTAGGGTTCAGGGATTATTAATATTTAGAGTAAGGGTTGTGGGGTTTAGGGTTTAGGGTTTAGAGTTTAGGGCTTTAGGGCTATGTTATATCAGATATGAGGGGATACTATTCCCATGTGTTATGCTATACCCCAAGGTCCAGTCCAGTTGCTGCTCTTGAAAAGTCTAGGGTTTCAAGGGCTTAGTAATATAGGGGCCTTAATAATTGGAAGAGGGTTTTGGGCTCCATTATGCTGTAAACCTAATAAAGGAACCCGCTAAAATAGTATGGGCTCCATTATACCATAAACATCATAAAGGAACCCCTAAAATAGTATGGGCTCCATTATGCTATACACATAATAAAGGAACCCCTAAAATCATCATTGGTACTTATTTAAGCCTTTGTCTTTAGGAGGCCCAGGCTTCTCAGGTTTTTGACTGAGGCGCTTGGGATCGAGCGGCCTCAAAATCCAGTAGACCGCGCAGGTTATGGGTTTAGGGTTTAGGGCTTAGGGTTATGGGGCGGTTCTGGGGGTTAGTTTGACTCAGTGGGGGATGGCTAAGAAATGAGCTTACTTGATAGATCTATACATACATATATACATACATACATGCATACATGCATGCATACATACATACGTACATACATACATACATACATACATCCATCCATCCGTGCATGCATGCATGCATGCATGCATGCATGCATGCATGCATGCATGCATACATACATACATACATATTACTTGCACCTTACGTGCTGGAGGCCTCAGGTTTTGAACCAAGGGCGCTAGACGAAGTAGGGAGGCTCCATGGAAAGACGGTGGTCGAATCCTGAACCCCGTAACGAAAATGTCCAATGTAGGGGCCTTCATAATTCAGGGCTTTGCGGCTCTTCTCTTGTACAATTAGAGTAATGAGCCCTACGGAATGATATCGGTAGCTATTTCGGCTTCTGCATTGGATCTCTTCACTAACTTGAAAAGCTCTGAGCCGGCCCTAAAGCACGGATACGATCTGGAGGCATGAGGAGTGAGGGTTTCCAGCACCATAAACAGAACAGACAACCTCTACCTACGCCCGGCAGCAAGCAGTTCATTAAAGTAGCATATCATGGGTATGTTCTAGTATATCCTAGGATATCTTCTATATTATAGTCTAGGAAATTCGAGGGCTCATGGCCTGATGTCTGATCTTTCAAAGGCGACTTGGTTTTTGTTGAGGCTTCCGGCGTTGATGTGGTGGATCGCGTGGTAGCCGTCGTTGAAGGTCCTCTTGTTGGCGCCGTTGTCCTGGGTAGAAGGCTAGAGGCTTGCGCACTTGGCCTTTCGGTCTTGATGCTCTGAAGCTTGTAAGCTGTATATACGCATATACAAGAAATCTTGACAATCTTCATGTACATATGTGTGTGTGTATATATATATATGTGTATGTGAATATATATATATATATATACATATGTGTCTGTACACAATATTCAAATATATAGCTCTATATACATATATATGTGTGTGTGGTCAAAGTTATATATATATATATGTGTAACGTGCATAGGTTGCTGATGTTGTAAAATGATGGCTCCCGTCTTTCTCTTCCCTGCGCAGATTTGGGAACACGGCTCCGCCGGACTTGTTACTCGCCGGCCATTGGCCGCGGGCGAGGCAGTGAGGGTTTAGCCTAATAACGGCTCCTTATTATGATGCCTTGATCTATAAGTCCTTCAGAAGGTAGGCTTTTGGGATTCCGGTATACCTTAGCCTACCAAGACCCATTTTTCCAAGACCCTTATAAATTCTGTTTGAGTTTTCATAAGACTTTACACATAGGACGGAGGTTGTGGTAGTTGAAGGTAGGTACCCGGACACTTACAGAAAGAGCTCTTTTTTTGGGCATGCCTTTTCCTCTGTACCCCCAGCTTGTATAGTTGGCCTATGAGTCACATCTACTTATAGGCCCATATGCTACCCAGTTCAGGGGTTCAGGTTGTGGACTAAACTTCAAGCGCTTCCCAGTTCAGGGGTTCAGGTTGTGGACTAAACTTCAAGCGCTTTGGCGCTGGAAGGTTCCGGCTCCTGAGATTGAAACTACTGAAGCCACTAAAGCCCAAGGCTTTAGGGTTTAGGGTTTAGGGTTTTGGGTTTTGAGAGCTTGTGTCCACAAGTTGCAGGATCCCAGGCTCCCCGACGAACCTCTTGTAGACCCTACAGCTACGATTTCTGCTTTTAATGCCATAGTTACCACGGTTGCTTGTTATTTGTCGCTTCTGGTGTGATTTAGTTGCGGGCGTGCTCCACATTATTATAGAGCACAGCAATGCAACAAGGCAGGCCACCACAAGGAAACCTGAAACGAAGAGCCTGAATCACCCAAAAGTAAAACGCAAGCGGCAAACGTTAATCCGTTCCAACCGCAAAATCCGTTCCAACCGCAAAACACTAGACCCGAGAATTGAACCCCAAGCCCCCACAGCCGGGAAGCAACAGCCGCTATCTCGGCATCATCATCATCACCATCATCATCATCACCATGACCATCACCATCACCGCCACCCTGATCGTCATCCTCATCTTCACTAGCAGCAGCACCAGCACCACCATACCATCACCACCATCACCACATCTTGGTGATACAGCAAGCAAACCAGAAGCGGTCGCCGACAGAAGGCTCCAATGCCCAACAATAGATGTGAAGTCTGTTCATGCTTTCATCATCCCCCGGCCCCCCGCGCCCACTCCCCACACGCGAGCCCGTACGCTGGCAACACGAAATACACGGCAAACAAAAGCAGAAATCCGCACTGCCATGGCCGTCATCTCCCCGCCCCGGCCATCACCCCATCCGCGCAACCCCGCTCAAAAATAAAACGCACACATGAAACGGACGGAAATCCGCACTGCTGGGACATCATCACCAAGCCATAACCCCCTTGCTCGCACTCTCACGTCGCACCTCCCATCCCCCCGACCCAACCCTGTCGTGCATGCAACAAAATCGACCCACTACACGTCGAGACGGGCATGCAACATCGCACACGCCCGGATTCCAAGGCAAAAAACAAAGACAAGGACAGTGACAGACACGAAAGGCGGTATGTAAATACCAATGCAAGAGGCCATGCAGCATGCCCAAACTCAAGTTTTAGCCAGGACATGCGCGACACTGCAAATATCCATGCAACAAACCCGCAAAACAAAAGCCTTCTGCAAAGACGTTGACAACTCACGGCGGCAAATGCGCAGCTGCCAACAACAACGAGGGCCTGGGGCTCAGGCTTCGTCGCGGCTTAGGGTTTAGGATTTAGGCTGTAAGGTTTTACTTTCGGGTTTAGGATTTAGGGTTTCGGAATTATGGTTTGGGGTTTAGGGTTTACCGTCAAGCAAATAGGAGTCTGAGCCTCCTGTCCTGGGGAAGGCTGTTCGCATCTCTTACGGCAAGTACCCGTCGTGGGCCCAGTGCAGCAGGGGCGCTCCTTGCCAGTTGCCATGCCATCCCAATCGCGCAGATACCGACATAAAAAGAGAAAGGGGGAGAAAGATTGATACAGCGATAGATCGACAGGTAGGTAGTCAGATAGGTCGATAGATGATGAGTAGATAGACAGATACATACAAAACTAGACATATAGATAGATAGGTAGATAGATAGATTGATAAGTAGGCAGGTAGATAACGGGTTATCCTTCCCTTTTGCCCTAAAGGGGCTGTGTAGTACCGGCGGCAAAGTAGGTTACGCTATATCGCAGTCAACTGTGTTCTTGGTGCATGTTTAGCCTCTGCTGTTGTTTTCAGTGTTACTGTTTCGGATTGAAGAGGAGCCGTGTCGGCTCTCCACACTCGAGTTAATCCAGGGCCCTAATATCCTTGTTATGTTGGTGTGGGGCATAGCATGCTATGGTTTGGGCTATGACCACAGTAAGGAAAGCTTGCATAAGCATACTAGTAAGCAGCCACGCTCCGATATTAACACGAAAACCCACAGTCCCGAGAGGTCCAGCTCAGGGTTTGAGGGCTTCAGGATTTTTGAACTTGCAGCCTCAGGGTGGCGTTACGGGTTTAGGCTTGCAGGTTTCGCATCTTGGGTTAGGGCCCAGGATGTCAGGTGAGGGCTCTCACGCCAGCAGAGTGGAAGAAGGAAAGCCTAAAGCCAGCCGCACCTTCCCCGAAAGTAAACCCCAGCGCAAACAGAACATTCGAGCCGCAGGCACTAACGCCGTAATTGTGAGATGTGGGAGACTTTCGAGGGATGTAAGAGTTCATCATACATTAACGGTCGATGTGCCATGCTTTGGTTAACGCGTATACTATGTGGGTAGACACAAACACAAGCAATCCCTCACCAGTACACCCGCACTGCAACCTGAAACTCCTTCTCAAAGCCTCGTGGGCCCTACTAAAACCCATAGCCTGAACCATAGGATCCCCTCATGGAACAGCCCACCCTAATCTTGAAACCCTCAACCCTGAACCCTTAACCCTAATTAAGCCCTACACCCTGAACCCTAAACCCGAACCCTGAACCCTGAACCCTAAACCCTAAACCCAGGAACCAGCGGTTCCTGCTTGACTATGGCTTCAGCCTCGGGGAGGCAAATCCTCGAGGTGACGAGGAGAAGGCCATGGTCTGAGGTTTAGGGTTGAGGGTCTGGGGTTTAAGGCTTAGGTTTCAGGGTGAGTTTAGGGTCAGGGGTCAAGGGTCTCCGATGAGTTCAGGGCTCTGGGAGCTCTATGGCAGTAATATGGGGCCTTAACAATTATGTTGGGGAGTTCCTTATTATATTTATAGTCTAAGGGCCCCAAAGCCCCGTTCAAATTATTAAGGCCCCTATATTACTCTCGCAACGGTTTGTGTTTCATGCGGCTGGCTGCGGCTTTATGGCTCGATCAGCGCCTTTGGGTGTCAGGATGCGTCAGGGTTTCGCGGCAGCGCGCATGCATGTATGGTTTGACGGTAAAGGGTTTAGGGTTGCATACATGCAATATGTATGTATACACACACACACGTATACATATGTATGCATGTATGGGTGTTTGCTTGCTTGTTTGTTTGCTTGTTCATATATTTCCTCCACGTTTGCTGCGTGTAGGCCGACACAGGTTGTAATCGTCGATCTGATCTATAGTGTTCACTCCAACTTTGTGTCAGTGGTTCGTTATCATATCATTGCTCTTGTTCCTTGTATTCTGCTCATCAAGATTTGCCATGGTCAATCAGTTTTTGTAGCTGCAGAGCATCTGGAAGCTCGGTGGACACGAGAGGTGAAGGTTATCCACCCTCACGACAGTAGTCAGCCCTAAAACCTGTAGCATGGCAACGATAAGCCATGTTATGTTTGCCAAGTCCTCTAGCCATCATGACAGATTTGAGATGTGTGTTTTGCTTCTGGCCAGATGTATCGCGACAGTAGCTGTTATCACAATTTCTGACGAAGTCGCCCAAGATACCCTGAGCCCTCAACCCCCTAAACCCTAAACCCTAAACCCTAAACCCTAAACCCCAAACCCTTTCAGGTGGACCTGGCCTGAGGGGCAGCAGCTGTCCCGAAGGGTCCAGCTAGCCCTTCGCGGCTGTGGGCTTCCGGGGTTTAGGGTTTAGGGTTCGGGGTTTAGATTTGTTAGGGTGCGCCGTATGGATCTGCATCTTGTTCAGGCTATCCCAACGTTCCTACAGCCTCTCCACGGCCTTGAACGGTGCACTTTTGCACGATTCAAGACCCTGGTTGCAGTGATGTCTCACGGTCGTACGTAGATACGGGGCAGCCACGAGACTGTTCTTGTGCCCTACACCCCTAAACCCTAAACTGTAGCTACACAGTAGCTTTCGTTCACCTCAGGGTGGCGTTCAATTCACTGCTGTATCGACTCACGAAATGCCGTTCCCAAACCCCAAATCTCATCATCAAAGAGACCCAAACCCTGTAAACCCTATACGCTCCACCCAGTACGCCCTAACTCCTAAACCTCGAGAAGGACCGCGACAGTGGACCCGGAAGAGCTTTGCCAAAGAAGTCCAAAACAGTGCTGTGCGAGTGCGGGGGGCCAGAAACTTCAAAGCTCATCGACGGGTTCCTTCAGGAAAGCAGGCTCCGTAAAGTAGAAACCACTCGTGACAAGGCGCCCCACCCTAAACCCTGAACGCCCCAAGCTTTTCCCACTACCTCCAAACCCTATAAACCCTATAAACCCCAAACCCTAAAACCTCAATCCTGCGCTACGACCTGCGGCCGAATGTTAGATCAGTGGTATTTTTCTCGGTGTTGTGTCGTCAGTTCATGGCTTAGGTATCCATGTACACGAGCCTGCTTGTCTTGTTGAGTCTTGGTATATACCTTCCGAGACAAGTTGATCGAAACAGCTGGAATCCTACAAAAGAGTACATTGTGATAGGTTGAGGTTTGCGTGGAAGTTGCATCCCCAACCGCAGAACTGTCAAACTGAACTTGCTCACTCAGGGATGATTCGAAAGCTAAACTAATTACCTTCTCAGGGTCTGCACTTGTTGGCGTTTGGCCCGGATCCTGAACAAAAGAATATTGACATTTACCAGTACGCCCTCAAGTACACTCTGTATAGGCCTTACGTTTCCATCTTAATGTGTGGTTAGGGTACATAGCAACGGTAGTCAGTGGGGCTCGAGGTAGACTTCTAAGGTTTCCTATTGTCTCCGTTGCAAGTCCTTTTATTTTTTGGGTTAGCTACCTCGTTTTGCACTCAAGGACCCTGAAACACATAGTTGGTTCTGCAAGGAAAAGGAACTACCACGGAGAACCCTAAACCAGGACCTAAGAAAAGGGTCCCTAATAATTAGGATAGGGTTTTGGGGTATATTATACTATAACTGTAGTAAGGAGCCCCTTGGTAATTATGTAGGCAGTTGTCAAAATTATGGTCCCTTTTGGGGTACCCTAAATAATAGGTGCCGTATGATAACAAGGACCCAAAAAGGGACCATAATTTTGACAACCACCCATGTAGGCCCCTACATGAGGCCCATCTCCGGAGCTTTCAGTGCCAAGCATGCCAGCAGTGGGACTGCTGGATTGAAGGTACCAGGAGGATCGGGAGATTCGTACCTTCAAGAGTTTAGGATGTGGGTAGTTCTCTAAATTAGGGTTTTTTGGGGGTCCCCAATATAGTACGGCATTCTTATAAAAAGGACCCTAAAAAGTACCCTAATTTAGAGAACTGCCCATGTAGGGTTCCGTAAACCCTAAACCCTAGAAACTAAACCCTAAACCCTA